ATAAGCCCGCGGGGAGCAGCAGAGCCTGAAACGTCTACTGCCCCTTTCCGAGCAGCGCAGACACGGCTCTGCGACCCCTCCCGCCGGCAGGTGCTTCGGTCCGAATCCACCAGCTGCCCCGGCCACAGATACCCGCTAAAGGCTACCCAGCAGGGCGTCTATAGCTATGGTCTGCTAGAAACTCACTCACTAATCAGATTCTCCCGGCTGCTGGGGCTGGAAGGTGAGAGAAACGGGAAGAAGCAGACAAACCCAAGCGGCCCAGAACTGGTCGGAGCCACTCTAACTGCCGCCGCTGCCACATCTGAAGGTTCCGAAACTGAGGCTCCACCTGGGGCCACCGCTGCTCTGTGATGAGGTTAGAGTCGTTACATGATGGTAACAATTAAATAAAATGAGACTTCTTAGGGTACATTAGAAAATGTCAATGAGAAGTCAAAGTAAAATCCTTTGTTTCTACTTTGATAATTTAATAGATACGGAAGTTGCAATGCCACCTGAGAGGCAAGATTCTTGCCCGCGTAAGTACAAAGCCAATATACCCACAAGAGCACTTTCTGAGGGTTCATTCTGAAAGTATATTGAACAGCATGGATCTTTCACATGATTTGAAAAGGCTGGACTGGTTTCTACACAACCCACAAGCGTGGGCAGAACTTGGTGAATCATTTTGGAAGAATAGGGTCAGGGTAAAGTGTTGGTATAAGTCAGAAACACAATGGAAAGCAGATATGACAGTTCCAGAGCGGTACAGTCTGGGGCCACGTGGGGAGGGGCAACTAGTCGTTACAGCCTATAAGTCTAAACCTATCAAAACCAGCAGACATAAGAGCAGAGTAAGATATCTTCTCACATGCAAAGCCTTAGAACCAGTGGAGGCCTGAATGGAGAAAGGGAGGAAGGTATAAGCCGAGATATTGTTCTCTCCTTCACTCTACTTTGTGGCTGTGATTTTCATCTTCTCAGAGATTGTACCTTCTTACTGAGCCACCCCTTCTCCTGTGACTCCAGCTCCTACTGGGCATGGTTCTTTGCTCCTCCAGCCCTGGGGATGGAAACAGCTTTTTCATATTAATTCCTGGTTGCTTTGCCACCCTTTGATTTCTGGGAACTCCTATCACCTATGTAACTGTTTAAAATACCTACAGAGACTCATTTTTTAGCTGGGCCTTGACTGCAACAATAACAAAGGTAGACATTCAGTAATATAAGTATATTGGGAGGAGAAGAAAGATAGTGGAAGTGAACTGTAGGTCATTTTCAGATAGGAAGCCAGGGGGTGGTGCCTACAACTGATAAATCAGTCAACAGCAGTAGTGTGTTGTTTAGGATTACAAAGATAATTAACAAGAGAATAAGGACCTGAAACAGTTAAAAGTTTGAACCAATGGAGGCCTGAATGGAGAAAGGGATCTATAGTAGACCATAGCTATAGATTGCCTCCACTGCCTCAAACCGTGGAAACAGTAAAAATGAACTGTGGTTGCCAGGAAGCCAGGGCAGGAAGTCAGAGAGGAATAGATGGGGCGTAGGCAATTTTCATGGCAGTGAAACTATTCTGTATGATACTGTACCGGTGGATACACAGCATCATGCATTTGTCAAAACCCATAAAACTGTACAACACAGGGTCAACCCTGAGACAAACGATAGCCTTTAATTAACACTAGTATCAATATTGGCTTTTCAGTTGCAACAAATACACTACACTAATGCAAGATGTCAGTAACAGGGAAAACTGGGGGGGCGGGGGGGGAGGGAAAGTACATGGGAACTCCTTGTACTTCCTAGTCAATTTTTCTGTAAACCTAAAACTGGTTTTAAAAAAATTATCAATTAACTCCCTTAATGAAAAGGAAGGAAGGGCGGAAGGGAGGGAGAGAGGGCGGAAAGAAAGGAAGCGAGCCATCTAAAAGACCTAACGAAACGCATATTACTAAGTGAGAGAAGCCAGTCTGAGAGGCTGCATTCTCTGTGATTCCAACTATATGACATTCTGAAAAAGGCAAAACTATATAGAGACAATAAAAAGACCAGTGGTTGCCGGAAGCTCAGGGGCAAACAGGAAGTGAACAATAGGTGCATTTTTATGGCAGTGAAACTATTCTGTTGTATGTACTGTAATGGTGGGTAGAGTCCTTAGGCATTTGTCAAAACTAATGAAATTGTACAACACAAAGAATGAATCCTAATGTTAATAATTCTGGATCAATAATGGCTCATCTGTCAGTTACAATAAATGTACCCACATTTAATGCAAGATATTAATACTACAGAAACTGGGGTTGAAGGGGGAGATACTCTACTTCCTTCACAATTTGTCTGTAAACCTAAAACTGCCCTAAAGAAAAAAGCCTATTAAAAAAAAAAACAAAGAATAAAACACTGACTTTAAAAGAAGTGTTGCCTCTACAGAAAGGGTGTTATATGGGTGAGGCAAGGCTTTTTTGTATTTTGTTAGTCCTATGTGCTATTTAAGCTGGGTTTAAAAAAAAAAAGTTTTTTTTAATCTTTTTACCTGCTGGAATGGCTAAAATGAAAAAGACCAAAGATGGTGTTGGCAAGGATCTGAGGACTCCAGAACTCTCATGCACTATTATGAGAAGTTCCTGTAAATTGGTATAACCACTTTGGAAAACTGTTGAGCAGTATCTATCTAAGCTAATCATTTGCATAACATGTGACCCAGCACATTCATTCCTTGATAAATACCTCCACCCCACCCCAGAAAAAAAAAGATGTTACCAAAAGAGAAGTTCTATAATGTTCACTGAAGCTTTATTTATAATTGCCAGAAACTGGACTGAAATGGAATGCCCATCAAGAGTTGCAGACACATTGTAGAATAGTCACACAACGGAATTCTATATTCCAATGAGAGTAAGTGATTCACAGCTACACTCAGTAACACGAATGAAACTCACAAACATAATTTGAGTGAAAGAAGTGAGGCATATAACACATAATTCCATTTATATAAAGCTCAAAACAGGCAAAAGTGGTCTATGCTCTAAGAAGCCTGAATAAGGGTTATCTTGGAAAAGAGATGACTGAAAGTAGCCTAAGAGGGTCCTCCTGAGTAATGGTGATGTTTAGATGTTTTATTCTGAGTGCTAGTTCAAGCTGTGTTTATATATATATATATATACACATACATACATAAATATTATATCTATGTAATACACACACACACACACACACACACACACATATATATAATATGCTTCCATAACTTGTTTAACCTGAGAGTTTAGAATCCTAGGTTACAGTTTTTTTTTCTATTCTATTTTCTATTCTCTGAACACTTAAAGCATACACACACACACACTTCACAGTTTATTTCAATACTTGGAAGAATATTAATGTAACATTTCTATGAATATTTTCAGAAGCAAAAGAAGTGCAGTTTTAAGTCCAGTAGAGTATTTATTTAGACTTGCTGGGTTAGTCTTTGGTGGTATAATGGTTACCTTCTAGCTGGGTTCTGAATGTTACCAAGTTATAGATCATGGCTCAAGGTTTTTATCAAGACAAGTGTTGATGACAGCGAGAAGTCATTTCTCTTTTGAAATTTGCAATCATGCTTAGTTTTGAGCTTCTTACAACTGGATAACTTCCACTGAGGGAAATTCTTTTGTGTTATATTCAGATACCGCAATTCTGGCTTGCTCACCAACTTAGAATATGTTGAAACTTTATTTATAATTGTTATTATTCTTTGTGCTAAAAAGAATTAGAGCTAAGTTAAAGGCTTAAGACCCAAAATCTGAATATGTGTTGATGCTTCAAATATGAGGATATTTTTTACTTGTGGCAATAAATTTCTGCTGTTTCAAACATACCTACTGCACTCATTTGTTTCCTTAGCACAGGCAGTACACATCTCACACAAATTAGTACTAATTTAGTTCTGTACATGTAAATCAACATAGTTCTTAAGCACCCTTGCTGAACTTACTCCAAGTGAAAATTTAGTGTGGAAATTTGGCAAGTTCTTGGATCAACAACTTTAATTACTTTTACAAATTCTAAAATAGCTTAAAATACATAACAGCACATTTTTAAATACCTTTCAGAGATATAAAACAAGACCCCCAAATTTTTAAGAAAGCCTAGAAAACCTCCAGCAGTGGAAACTAATAAATCAACTTAATCCAAATTTCTGCTGTATGGTGTGTCAGAGCTAAAAAAAAAAAACAAATTTTTCTGTCTTCAGTTTAATTCACCCACAAATTACCTTCTGTTAATTTGCCTTTTGATTATCAGGATACTAAACTCCCAAAGGACTACTCTCAGTTTATATACTTACTATCAGCACACATGCCTCCAACTAATAGAATTTATTATTTCCTATGTGTCTCCCATTAATATCCTTTTAATAACACAGTAAATTGTTTTACCACCACACTTGAGGAAGCTAAGGCCCACTGGGTTTATTTACGTAAGTTGCTTAGAGTTCTACCACTTGAACTGGTGAAGTCTTAGTTCCATCCCAGGAACTGGGATTCAAAGCTACTACACTATGTCGCTGCCAATTATTGATAGGAATTCAGGTATAAAGTCAAATCCAGGACACACAGTACTATGAACTCTGCCCTTGATTAACACTCCACATCTACCTTGTAGACTGTAATGAAAATTCTGGCTCTAGTCTTACTCTCTGGACCAGACTTTACTGGGGCTACTCATATGGGGCATTTTTTTTTTTTTGGTATCAATATCACGAGCAACATTGTGGTTACTAGATTTCCCCCATTATCAAATCCCCACCACATATCCCATTACAGTCACTGTCCATCAGCATAGTAAGATGCTAGAGTCACTACTTGTCTTCTCTGCTATATACAGCCTTCCCCGTGCCCACCCCCATGTTATGTGTGCTAATCGTAATGTCATATAGGCACTCTTACTTTGCTTCATAATATGAGAAAATATGAGCGTTAGACCTTTTTATCACCACTGCAGGAGGACTTGGGTCAGGACTCAAAACTGAATTCTGATGCATTTTAAAAGTCTTTATTGCTGGCAAACTGGGTAATGGGTTGGGCTTGGGCATGAAGTACAGTCATGGAGATTGACTAGATCATTAAAGAGTTGATACAACAAACTCCCAAAATGGCACAAAACATATCTTGAGACTTCCAAAAGTTAGGAGTTCACAAAAAAAGTCAAAATTTAACACACTGTAAATTAAAATGCTTTCTGTTCACATGCAATCCATTTCAAAAACTTCCAACATCATTAGAAAAACCAGACACCGTGTAGTCTCTAAAATTTATTTACAGTTAATAAGTTAAAACGCAGACATACAACCAGATTGTAGGTCTCAATCATATGCACATCAAACTGTCCAAAGAAACAATGCAGTTCCATTACAAACAACTGCTTTCTAATGCACTTAAGACATAATCAAAAAATATTTTAAACATACCAATAAAGTAAATATTATATGTATCTGTCCATTAAAAACCACCAATCTAAAGACTGCTGTGGCAATCCTTCAAATAAAAAACTTTGAGTTCAAAATTGCTCAGATTTATTGTATTCAAATGTTTATTTTTAATGAAGTTTTCAGAAAAATAGTACTATCGTTTGCACATACATAGCAAATCAATAGGTGTCAGCCACCAGCTTAAATTACAACTTGTCCAATAAGATTCTCAAACTTCGAAAAAATAAATACACATCACAACAGACACTTTGCACTAACAACAATGAAGCTTGCCCTCTACAGTCATGACTTTAGCGGTTTCAGTCAAGACAAAGAAGTTGCTGGTTGACAGGAAGGATAAAAGTGACATCAGGAATTTCAAAAGATTACTTGAGGTGCCAATCACCACATTTAGGCACTCGAGAGTTCAAAATTGAATAAAAGCATAGCAAGGTGATAAAGTTCCTCCTAGCTTCCCCCTCTATTTGTGCCATATGAGATAGAAGATAAATTAAAAGAATGAAAAAAGATCATGGGATTTCTCTTTTAAAAATCTATATACAAGCTAAGCTACACACTCATTTCAGAGGACAATAAACGGATGCCTCACCAGAAAGGCCCCAGTGCCAAGTTCCTTTTCACATTCTGCCCAAAAGTACCCACAAAATACTTTCACTTCTTTATTAACATGCTAGTCAACTATGTAAGTTGTTTCTTCACATTTTAGAAGTTGTAAAACAACTAACTTTAGCAAGGTTTTGCTAAAGAAAACTTGGCAGAAATATTTTTTTACATTTTATTTCACAAACTAGAAAGGGCATGATTTTTTAATAAACTAGATAAGTAACATTGAATTCAGATGGGCAATCAGATCCAACTGAAATCAGATGGCCAAGCATTTATGCAACATCAAGTGCACTAATGTAACAAGGCGTTAAGAGGAAAAATAAGTATCTCAGTTAAATGCATGGTGTCAATGGTTGTTTCAGTTTTGTGCTGAACAAAGTTATGTCCCCAGCTAAGTCTAATTTCAAAATCCTCTGGGAAGCTATCTAGAGGAGCTATATGTTGAAATTACATTCTAGTATGGCCATTGGATTTTTTTTTAATAATTACAAAACTATATACAATAGTGAAGTGGTACAAATACACACTTTTTTCTCAGGTGCTAATTAGCTAAAAAAGTTGATTTTGGAGGGGAAAATGCTATTTGAAATACAATTGGCAATGGAAGCTAATAACCAGGTGAATTACATAAGCTTCCTATCACACAAATATAATTTAATACTCTCCATCTTCTAAGTAATTATTCACTTTTAGTTACTCATGTGACAGTATTTGTAACAATGCAGTATCAAGTAGTGAATAAAAATGAGGCTTACTGGGAAACTGGCATAAAGTCATATATATATATATATGTATGTGATTGTGTGTGTGTGTATGTATGTATTTATTCTTTCTACAAAACAAGAATACTGAAATTAAAGTCACAAAACTACTACTATGAACTATTAAACTCAAAGAATTCATTTCAGAAAGCTACACCATTTGAATTCTAAGAACACAGGAGTGAAAACAACTCTCATTATTCTCCTAAGAGGCTGCCAAACAGACAGAAAACCTGAATACTGAGGATCTCATACGTCAAGTTCCAGCCTGGTATGGATGGTTCCATGGCAGGATACTTACATTTGTAATGATAGTGGTACAAAAACACTACTTGACCCTTTAGATATTGCAGTAAAATCTGACTGTGGCACCACTGGCTACAAACCCTTAAAGTCTTGCTGCCACCAATGACCAAAGGCACTTGGATAATCAAGAATTCCACACGGGGCCATATGGTATAAACACTACTAGCAAAGTGTAAATGAAGGGTCAGTACTCTGTGGCTCACCTGTTGGATTCCTGTGGCTTTCAGCTGTCAAAGGCTGGTTACTGCATACATAATTTTCAATAGAAATAAGATAAAAAAGAACAAAACATGGAGCAAAAAACTCAATTGTCATGATGTTCATAGAAAGTGATGGAGAATAGTTCAGACATTTCTTGTTACCCAACAACAGAAACAAGGAAGAGACATATTTTGCCCAAAGTAACTTCAACCAGTTATTAGATACCAAGAAATGCCCCCACCCCTCTAGATTATTAATACTTCAGAGAATTCTGAAGGGTATTCTGTTCATCAGTTTAATCCCAAAGTTTACAAACATTCATTTCTCCTATGCGATTTCCACTTCAAAATAAATTAACCTTGTAATGTACCTGGATTTGCACATCAGACCAGTACAAGGAGGTCAAATAATTTCCAATGGGATTCCATCCATCTCTTTAACCAGTAGTTCTTGTGAATTCGTTTTTTTTAAGTCACAACCCATGTGGTTTCAATAGTTTTTTGTTCAATTAAAAAGAATTTAACAAGTCAACTTTTCCCATACAAAACTTTCTACCATTTTCTTTAGGAGCTCAGTAAATATAAACACTAAATTTCAATATAAAATCTTTAGACACCTTAAAAATGTTTAAACAGTTCTACTTTGCATCTCTTTGTTTGTAATCACTGAGCCCATTATTTTCAAAGCCGTACAAATACTTGCACTATTAAGTCATCAGCTTGAATCTCTTAGAAAATATCCTTGGTCAAAGCTCTGGAATCCCGTTAAAATTAGAAAATGAGGGGATTCAGAATACCCTGAGCACAAACTAGTATAACACCACATAACATGTCCGATCTTCCGTCCAGAAAGAGGGATGGCAGTCAAAAAGGTAAAAAGAGGGTGGGGGATAGGGAATGAACAGCAAGTAAATTCTGGCTTTATTACACACGCACGAAACCAAATTCCTTTGGAAAAATAATGACTTCTTCGGAGGGCTTCCAGACCAGTGAGGTAGAGTCCAAAAGGGAGAAAACGGATCTGCCCCTACAGTCCTGGAGACGTCTCAATCTGGGGTTAGGAAGAAGAGGGACCTCCCCTGCGGGTCCGGCAGTCCCCTCCCGCCACAGACCCGGTGCGGGGAGGCAGCAGAGAGCACACCTGGCCCGAAGTCCCTGCCGGCGACGGAGCATCCCGGGGACGCGGGGCCGGAAAAACCATCCGGTGACTTCTTCGCCCGTAAAGTGCACTAGGGAACGGGGTCCTGGCCGGATCTGTAAACACTCGACTGACACTTGTTCATCCCTCCAGGCGGAAGCTCCGTCCCAGGGTCGGCGGCGGCCGCGCCTCACGCCCGCGGCACCGGAAAGCGCCGGAGCCTCACCACGGGTTCCAGGTTCACTCGCAGGACTTGACGCGCTCTGCGTCGCGCCGCCGCCAGGCTGCGCTCGCCCCACACGTCGCCGCCGACGCGGATGGTGGGGAAGGTGGTCAGCGTCGGGGTGGCCGCCCTCCAGATCTCCTCCAGGGTGCGGCCCCCAAAGCAGGGCTCTGGCGCCGGGGGCTTGGCGGGGCAGCTCTCCTCGGCAGCGAACGGCGGCGGGCGCTTTCTCCTGCGGGCGGCGGCTGCCCGGGCTCCGCGGCGCCTCCTCCTGGCCGCCGCGCCCGGGCCCGGTCTGCGCGCGGAGCCGCGGGCGGCGGGGGGCGGCGGAGGGTCGGGGACCAGGGCCCGGCAGGAGGAGTAGCCGTAGACGTCCTTGCTGCGCAGAATGTGCGGGGAGAACTGGTGCTTGAGGCTGCATAGGAAGCTCCAGAGCTCCGCGTCCGAGCTCATGAACTCAGTGCTGCGGGGCATGAACAGCTTGAAGGCGTCGCCCAGCGCCTTGGTGCTGTCGGCCAGCGACAGCTGCGACCGCGAGTACACCACCTTCTCCTCCCGCGCCTCCAGTCCGGCCCCTCCTCCCGCCCTGAAGCCTCCGCCCGGGACGGCCGCGGGACGGCGCCGCCGCCTCTTCACGCTGCGCCGCATCGCATCGGAGGCCACTCGGGCCCGCTCGCGCTCGCCGGGGCCCGCCGCCGCCGCCGCCGTCCCGCCTGCGTCCGGCTCCGCGGCGGCGGCCGCTGCTGGCGCCTCCCTCCCGGCACGTCTCTCGCTACTTTTCTCGCCTCCGCCGCCGCCCCTCCCCCCGCGAGGGCGGAGGACGCGGGCGAATATCCTGCCGCCTGGTACAAGATGGCGGCCGGCGCTCACCCCTGGGCTTTGTCATTGGACGGCGCCTCGCCCCCTGGTTTCTCTTTCTTCTCCACGCTAGCCTCCTTTCGCCCTCTGTCTTTCTTTAAATGTGCCCGCCTCAGGCCCCTCCCACCGCAGCTCCGACTCCACCCATTGGGTGCTCTCCGAAGAGGGGCGGGGACTAGGCCAATTCCTGGAAGATGGTGCTGGGGTGGGTGTGGGTTGGTGGCCCTTGAACGCGAGTCAACAGTTGGGTGTACGGGGAGGTTGCCTGGGCTGGAGTAAGGGGTGGACTTCAGCTCCACCTTGGGGAGGGTTGCTCTCCCAGTGAGTGGGTGTGCATTTGTGGATCCAGCTGGGAGACCTACCAGTCTGAATAACAAAGGGAGGCAGGCCCCAAGGCTGTTGCTGGTATCAGAGCAGCGAATTTGGGGTTAAGGGTGGACAGAATGCCCCTTTCACAGTCCTAAACCTTCAAAGGCCTCTTGGCATCTTCATCTAACTCTTGCCTCTTTTGGCCCCAGTCCATTTCAAGCAACCAGTAGTAAGCCAGAATCATTTAGGTAATACGGGGGCATGGATGAGATTGTCTCCTAGAAAATGGAATCGCCTTCATATTTAAGAGATACTCTGCTCATTGGGAAAGCAAAGCCTATTTTACCTATAAAATAAAACACTCTTTGTTCAAGTTGATCAAAGATCAATACAATAAAGCCATTCTCCTTAAAAGAAAATTTCCTTCTGTTTAAATAGATGGTTCTGTTAAAAGAGCACACACTTCACTTTTCATTTAGTTTTAATATGTCCCTTGCCAGCACCATCTCTATCATTTAGAAAGGAAGCAGCAACACAATCAAAAAGGTTCTGTTGAAAGAACGCAGTTAATACATTATCTTTTGTATTCCAGGAAAGTGCTAAGGTTTGTAGAGTTGTGGACATTCTTTACTACTCTGCCTGTCAACAGCTCAGTGCCTGTCAGTGGCACTGTTTTGCAGAGTGAACCAATGAAATAACACTAATTATTTGAAATGAAGTGAGATACATACATATCGAAATCGCTTAGCACAATAATTTTATATTTGACCTTTTTTTTTTTTTACAATTTTCCTTTTAATTCCCTAAATTTTTTAGGATAAAAAAAATCTCCTAATCCTTAGAATGTTGAGGTAGGCATGCAACTTTTACCCCTCAGTGAGCATCAGATTTGCGGTAGAAAACTGATAAAGCACACGTTTTCTGTTTGCATATAGTTGCTAATGATTCCCTCAAATATTTGAGCTGAAAGATCTTTAGTGCAATCTCCTTATATAGATGAAGAAATGTGGACCCACAGAGGTTCAGTAACATGGCTTGTTGATAGCAGGTCTAGGACCATGATTTTGGTCTTTGTTTTCCTTATCTAGTGATCTTTACATATCACTGGGGGCTTTTCTAACTGTGTTGCCTAGCCTCTAAGAGGTTCAAAAGAAAATGCTTATGCAGGACTAGAGAGACCAAGGGACAGAGTAATAGCCCTAATTCTACTTCCACTCTACCCAGAATCAAGTGGTTTTCCTCTGTTCTACATTGGACTTACTCGAGATTTTGTTTGGACCTGATAGTATGTTTAGTTTCAATAAAAACTAAAACAAAAATATACTGAGAGTCGCTTCTCTATAGCAAAGCAGCCTCTCTACACAATGGGGTTTATGGCAAAAACAAAACTTCTTACCAGAAGATCATTTCTCTACCTACCAAAATCATGGTAACTTTCTGAAAAGAAAAGGCATTTTTCCTAAGAAAGCATCCTCTGATCTCAGAACAAGTTTATGGAACCAATTACCAGCTTCTTAAGTCCTTACGAGGAAATAATAAAACAACTACTCTTCATATCACAATTAGTTCTCTGGGTAATTCTGGGAACACACAGTAATGTGAAATTTGAATAACTGCCATAGGAATGCCCCTGCAGATAGATGTAGAAAAATCTCAGAGTAAACCAGTGGAATGATAAGAGGATTTCATAATGAAAGAAAAGCGTAAAAAAAGGATTTCTGTACTCCTGGCTTCTCCTGTTGTTATTCCCTTCCTTCTCTGTTAATCATATTATAAATTCTTCAGAATCTATTGCCACAAAAATATGTATCAGGCATCTATACAAACTTATAAAATTGATTTCAATTAAGAAGATCAATCTTTTTTCAACACAATTCTGGTTCTAAGAAAACATAAGATCTCAACAAATTATATTCAATAGTTCATTTTATAATATATTCTCATTTAATTTACTTAAACCAAACAATAATTTTTTAAATTAGTGTATGTTAAAGAGTTTAAATTATTGTACACTTTTAAATTTGCCACTGTTTGTGCTCTCTGCTCTTCTTCTTTCTCTGTTTCTTATTTTTACATTTCTTCTTAACCTGTACCTTTGATTAGCTCAAATAGTTTACAAATGGTTCAATCTATTCCCTATAAGTGAGTAAAATTTACACATAAAGATAATACATTTCTTCTAGTTGCTGAGATGTTCCTAAGACACTATAAATTTTATGATAAGTTAGCAAATTAAATTTTCCTTCTTGAGGAATGATTGTTTAAAATTCTGAATTTACTCCTTTACCTCTTAAAGGAAATGATGCCTCCTATATCTGATAAATAAGTGGCAAATAATAAGAATAAACAGGGAAGAAAACCTAGCTATATGTGTGTATTTTCTGAATTTATAACTTATGTAGTTTAAAAAATGAATCCAGGAAGAATATGGTGATTAGAGAAATTAAAAATAAAATATATCTGTTAGCTATCTGGAAACTTTCCTTTAAGATCCCACTTCCATAAAATAATTTGCTTCTTGAAAAGTGGCCAAAACATAAAATTTTTTTTAAGTACATGTACTTTCAGTTGTGAGCATCAGCTCTGGAATCAAATAGGCTTTAAATAAAACAGGACTTTATAACAAAATATCCTTGGACACAGTATTTGCCTTTCTGATCCTCAGTTTTCTCATTTATAAATTGAACATAATCTCTATTTAAATGGATTGTTTTGAGGATAAGATGAGGTAACATTCGTAAAACATTTATTATGGTGGTGCCTGGATCACAGTAAGCATAGAATAAATAATCACTATCCTTATTTCTCTTACCTAATTAAGATTTTACTTGATTTAACCAACATATGTTAAATCCTATATTACAACGTGAGTCTAGAGTTTTGTTTTAAGTAATAGATTGCTGAGGAGAAAATCAAAATGTTAGTGCTAGAAGGAAACTTGAGAGATTATCTACTGAGTCTAACACTCTTAATACAGATGAGAATACTGAGATGCCAAGAGATCTGCCTAAATTCACACAGAGGAATAGTGGAAGACCTTGAACTAGAACCTAGGTCTCTGTTAGTTAGGCCTGAGTCGTTTCTAACATTCTTGTATTTAATCCAAGGAGATAGCCTTAATTTTTAGTTTGAATAAAATTACATAGAGCATGAGTCATCAAGAAACATTTCAGCCTTTTCATTAGAATCATTCTAATTTAGATTTTTCTACAAAAGTCATCACAAAGATCAGGTGTGCTCTAAAACTACTTATTGTGAAATACACAAAGACCATATAACTGAGAGGACAGGACTTGCACTTTCCCTACTCTTCTTCCTACTCACAACTTAAAATCTTGGACATTATATATGAAATGAACATCAGATGATTCTGAAAAATAGAGAAGAGAAAGCAGACAGGCTAGGGACCTCAGAGCCCACAGAGCAACACAGCTGTGAGTTCTCTGGGTTTCCTTTTTTCTCTTTTCTGCAAGCACCTCAGACTGTGTGCTGGAGAAGCTAGCAATCTAGAGATGCCAACAGATGTAGACATAAAAAAGCCCAAATAAAATCTTTCCTCTCTAGATATAGGACTAGGAAATGAATGGCCTAGCCAGACAGAAAAAAATCAATGTACTTCAGCAAGACCCCCCTAAAAAAAATGGCTTCTGCCAGGGCCCAGCTGTAAGAAGCACCCTACCACCCCTGCTGGGGTAGTGTCAGAGAAGGCTAAATAGGTTTATCATGACTCCATCCCTCCTGGGCAGTAAAGAGACAATCTTCTCTAATTCCTTCCACCTTGCAAGTCATCAACAGCACAACCAAGTATCACAAACTCAATGACAAAGACCCACGTCACTCTAATGGAGACTTGTCTGTGCTGATATATGTCTACTTTTGGGGTTTGGTCTGAACCCTCAAGCCTGCTTTATATTATTATCACCCAGCTCACACTGTATTATCCAATAAGATAACTATAAAAAAACTTTATCACATTTTTGTTGAAATCAAAATATACTATGTCTGTGGGCCTTTACCTAACCTACCAAGTCAGATTTCCCTATCAAATAAGAAATGAAGTCATCATAATTTTTTGTAAGCTCTCAAACTGTTTGATCTGAACTGTAGACTCGACTTGTCCTATTTTTTTCTTAATAACTTTGGAGCTCAGCTGTAATTACATGTAAAAATAATTAGCCAGTTTGAGTCTATTAGTATCAGATTGGAAAAATATTAACATATTGAATCATAATGTAGAAAAAGACTACTATGTAGTAAACTGAATAATTGGATGAATAGAGGTCAACAAATTAGTATTATAACTTAAAAATATAAGTATTATCAAGTAATGATTAATTCCTAACACACAGTTCCAATCCTGCCCTTTTAATACTCAGAAATCTTTAGTGGGTCTCCATTGCCTACCAAATGAAGAATAAACTGTGTAGCCTGATACAAAAATACAAAAAAACCCTTCAAATTATAACCCTAACAAACTTTTAAGCCTTTCTTATACATAGACCAAAACATAACTTCCTGCCAAACTTCACTATAATATATTCCTATATATTATATATTCACAATAATATATTCCTAGAATAATTCCTATTCATGCAATCATTCAAATAATTTATTGAAAGTCTACTATATACCAAACTGAAGGCTGAGCTTAAACAGTGAGCAGAACTATACTGGGAACCCACCTCATGATGCTTATAAGCTAGGAATTATTAGTTTCCTATGGTTGCTATAACAAATTCCCACAAACTTGGTGGCTTAAAACAACACAAA